GCGTGTTTCAGTAGCCAATACACGAGCTGGTCCAATGAACTGCCCTGCCTGGTGTGTTGTTCTCTCCTTTGCTGGAACCTGTTGCCTCCAGCAATAAACAAGGTCTCCTGGTAGGAACTGTTGTTGAGAACGATGTCCCATTCGTTCAACCTTCTCTTGGCTTGTTCTTCTGCAAAGGCTTTTGTGGCTGCACATCTCATCTTTACGTCTTCTTTGAACCCCCCATCATCGAGAAGTCCGGGATGTATTGGTCTTGTATCTTCACTCTCAAACAGGCGTCCTGTACTGTCTGGTGCTCTGCCCAACACTTGCTGGATTGGAGTGCAACCCTTGTATTGTTCCTCGCTATTGCATACCCAAACACTTCTAGCCAACAACTCGGTCACCTCAATCTCTGGAAATTCACGACTCAAGGTTTCTAGCATGCCCTTCAAGCTTTTGATAGCTCCCTCAACAATGCTTGCCTGCCAATGAGCCTCTCCAGGTATGGGAATCAGTTCAATGCCTTTGTCTGCACAATATCTGTCTGCTTCATCGGAACACCATGGGCCTGCACTGTTTGTCCTCAACACTTGTGGCCATCCAAAAATTGAAAACCATTGTTGCTCAAGGACCTCTCGGATGTTGTCCCATTTGGTGGTGTTTCCCTTTCCCTCTGCTGTGACTCTTGCCATGCGAAACCTCGTTGCTTCGTCGATGATCACCAGGATGTGATATTTGATCTTTGTCCTTGGATGCATCCATGTGGCAAAGTCAAGCTGAACTCTTTCCCACTTCTGAGGTATTGTTTCCAATGTTGCAAAACGTCTTGGGTCTCTTCTCTTGCGATGATCACAAACACTGCACTTCCACTCACGAGCAATACGCACAACACGCGGGTGACATCCTCGATCTTCTAGTGCCTTCACCAAGTTGTGTATACTACCATGACCTGTACTTCTGTGGATGTGTTGTATCTTGGCGATCACCTGCTGTCTCTCTTCCTCGGTAAGAATCTCACCTTCTGCCACGGCCCTCACTTGTCCTGCTGCCTGGGCTACTTCAACGGTCTCCTTCTTGTCAAACTCCCCCACAAGCCTGGACCAGGTTTCACACTCAGTCAATGCATCAATGACTTTGCGCACGAACGGCTCGGTGTATCGTGCTGTGTGCGCTGCTTCACCACTCTCGCATTTGCCTTTTGGGTGGTTTTGTTGGCAACGTAGGTCCAAGTGTTTGAGAAGTGGTTCATGTCTTGTACTGCTTGCCATCTCTGGTCCGCAACCCCACTGTGCAACCATTGCAGTCCACTCTTTTGAGACTGTGCTGGTGTTCATAGTCTTGAAAAAATCATAAAAAATCCAATGACCATGCCTCGCTCTTTTGAGCCCACTCCCAATGCACTTGTGTCCCAACCTGCCAACCCTGTTCAGCAACTCGTAGAGCACCCTGGTATTGAAGCTTAGCCTTGTCTTGTTTCTCCTGAAGGTTCTTGCACTGGTCAGGGGTTCTTCGGTTTAGCCGTTGAAGAGGACAAAAAGGCCCACATTCTGTGGAGATCCACAAGTGCACTGGTCTTAACTTCCTTACCTTCTGCATGGCTAACTGTACACCGGCTTCTGTCTCCAGGTCTGCACCGTTCCACTCTGCTAAACGAATTGCTGCCCCCTTCCCAAAACGACGTTCCCACTGGATGTATGAGGGATGTTGTTCCATCACCTGGGCATAGGTCATGTCCCCATGCTTTCCGAACCCCACCAGTTCGTTGCTCTCCGGCTCGAACTGACTGTGGATCTGTTCCTCGCCTTTGGAGATCAGCTGACTGATGGTCATGTTTGAGCTCACCTTCATGCCCATCTCCTCGAGGAACAATAGGAGTTCTCCCTTCTTGCGACTGGCCGTGCGGAGCTGTTGAAGCTTTGCCTGAAGGTCTGACTTGATCTTCAGTCCTTGTTCTTCCTCGACCTCGGACCAGCGTGCTTTCATCTGTGCCACTGTCCAGGATGATGGAACTACTTCTCCATGATCTGCCAAGCGCTGGAGCCACTCTGCCTTGGTCTTGGGCACGGGCATGATGCGGTGGTGAATCACGGTTGAAGCGATCGTCCGAGACTTGAGTGCTGAAAGATTGCTGCTCGTTCGACGACGTGTTGTTGCTTTGTGTGGTATGTGGTTGGTTGTGTGGCTTGTGGGTTTGTTGTGCTTTGTCGTTTGTCAACCTAGGCGACTCCCCTTCTTCACAAAAAATCACATCGTTCTCTACGAAATGCTATCAACTCACAACATGGACATTGCTTAAACTCAATGTCTTCAAGCCCCAATGACTGGTTTTCCAGTCTGCAACCCAAAATTTCACTCCCCTGACCTTTTGACGTGTCCATACCGCCAGAGGAGCGGAATCCCTACTCGTCGTGAAGACCTTAAATTCAGTCTTCCTCGACTTGCCCCCATTCAAAAGATTGCCTGTCAGCGGCATCAAGAGGTGGCCATTTGGTGCCTCCTGCAAGGGAACTACTGTGCACGCATCAACCTGCCTGTACACAACTTCGTTCGTACCAAAGTCGATCACGGCCCCCAACGATCGAAGGGCCTTGCGAGAAATCAACACTGGCTGGCCGGGAGCGTCGTGGATGTGCACCTCCATGCTGCCGTTCTTCTGACCAGCATCCATGTTGACCTTGGCGGTCCAAACACACTCCTTAGTCATGCCATTCCCAAACCGGAAGATTGGCTTCCGATCCATGTCCAACTCCATGCGAGTGTCACCCTTGTCCTCCAGGTTCTTGATGGCTATATAGGTGTTCCATGGCCTCCAAGGAACCAAGGGACGCAGTGGCGCCGGAGTCAATGATGCCCATGCACTGCTCGGCCACAGCCTGAACAATCTGAGCCTGCTCAACTGGATCAAGCTCTTGAGATCTTGCGCTATTGGCCAGCTCCATGGCACCGAATGCGATCTCCGCCGCCTCCTCTGCAATCTTGGCATCCTTGGTCCGTTGTGGACACTGGCTCTGGAAGGGTGGACCTCCACACTTGAAGCATTGGATGCCTCCTTTCCCTTTGCCGCCACCTTTTCTTTCATCCCGTGGGAACGGACGTGGAGGATAGCAGTTCCGGCCCAACTTCAACTGCTTCTGGTTCCACCTTGCTTCTCGCAGAGTGGTCTTGGCCGTTTGAATTGCTGCTTTGGCCTCTTCAATGCGACTCTGTTCAGCCCAAAACACTTCGAGCTGTTCTCCTTCAAGTCCTTCTGCCATGGCTTCCTGTTCCCCCAGGAAGGCTTCGGCATCATCATCGTCGGCTTCCTCAGTGGCCCACAATGCAGAGTTCATCTTTGCTTTGTCACGTTTTGCTAAGTCTGCATCAGACCACTGTTCTCTCAAGGCCTTCCCAACTGTGGCGGTGTTGAACTTGCCCTTGATGGAGCCAAGGATGTTGGACTTCTCACTGGGATCTAATCCACTGCGGTGTAACAGCAGAAAGCCAGCTAGAAATTCAGGAATGAAGATCTCTTCACTCACATCCCATGTTGTTGGGGGGCTCATACTCAGCGGAATGCTAAGATTTTGCCGACCAGCCATCACTTGAACCTGCCCAATTCCAGGTCCACACTGTGCTATGCCATTGGGGTTCTTCCCCATCAGGATTTTCATCCTGGGTGGTCTCAACCTGCACCTGGTCCTCCGTCTCGCCTCTTGAACCCGTGTGTACGGATTCCCGACCCCAGTCACTCCACGCCGGCCGATGTCCCTCCGAGCTGCTGGACTTGGTGGGTTCACCAAACTCCTTTTGAACACGACGAAGCGCAGCTGAAGCTTCCCACAACGCCTCGGTGTGCCTGGCGATCCACTCGGTCATGCTCTCGCCACGGGACCTATTGAGGTTGTAGAAAAACTTGAGCACATGTCTACTGGCATCCACCAGACTGGCTTCGCCAACTGCTCTTCAAGAAACTCCAACAGCTGGTACACGCACCTAGGATGGGACAACCATTGTGGATTCTTCAGGGTCTGCGATCTCGTGATCACCTTGGCCGCACCTATCAACGACTGGAGGAGCCGTGGACCACAGAGGTACCTCTTGTGATATTCTATGGTCATGGCATACTGGATGGCCTTCTCCTTGTAGCTAGGAAGGGTCTCTGGCGTGCCATCATAGCTAGGAACATTCTCTCGACTCATCTTCAATGCACCCTTCGCCAACTGGCTCAGATGCAAACCCAACTTCACCTGGATCAAAAACGAGCCTGCACCTCTTCGTCGAACTCAAGGTGCAACCAGGCTCTTCGCTACCATGAAATTGCGATGGCAGCAACGAACCCTATCTTTCACCTGTTTAGGGGCGTCTCGATCCTAAAGACAAAGTGGAGTAGGGTAAAATGCTGTGCGTTTTGCATATATATATATATATTACGAAAGCCAGCCGATAGGCTAGGCTTGAGCTTTTAGACCGAACGAAGTGAGTTAAGGGGGTGTGGGGGGGTAGGAGGCGAAAGGCACCATTTGAGAGGGTGAGCCCGGAGCTTGCCTGGGGAGAGCGCTCCAAAGCGAGGGTCAGAAAAGCAGTGAAAATGGGGTCTGGTGATGCGAGTGATGCAATGGACGCCGAGTAGTGCATCATTAGCATCATGAAGGGCTGTGGAGACTATTTGGACAATGGGCATTGAGCACTGGAGTGGAGACAGGCATCCATGTACAGAGCAACGGTAGTTGGTTGGCAGCGACGAGTGCCTACCAGAAAAGGGGCCCGTGTAGATAGCAACTTCGTGGAAGAGATTGGTGTTGTTTAAGGACTTGTTATAGCCACGGATCTATGCAATATTTTAGGATGACGCTTGGTTGAAGCATACAGTGCCTGCCATCGTCCTAGTAGGCATGTGTTACTTAGACGGTTTGTTCTTTTTGTTCTTTTGACCCTCTCGCCTGGCGGCTGCTGGCTTTCGTTCCCCCCCTTCTCAGGCATATTATATATATATATATGTTTGATGCTCGAGATGTATCAATATGTTTGATTATTCTCCAGGATTTTGCCATCATACAACACGGATGGCGACGCGGACAAAGCCCGGACCCTCAAGGACTATGTGGATGAGATCACCGAAGGTCACGGTTCTGGGGGCCCGGGCAAAAGCAAAAGATCAAAGCTTTCCAAGGGACGGCAGTTAGGCAGCAAGGCACCAGAGGATGAAGACGTCAACCTTGAGGAGGCCGGAGGTGAAACTATGATTCTAATGAACTTAACAAGTCAAGGGGAAAGCTTTAAGATCCTTGCGCAGTTTTTGGTGACGCTTATGTTGGAACTAATGATTGACGCGCAATACGATTGGTAATTGTGTGCGTGTAAAGAGGTTCTATTGAGCAAACCAACTTTTTTTATCTTCAATCCCTTGGTCCTGTAGGCCACCCCTTTGGAAAGTTTAGTGATGCGAACCTCTCACACCTGGTACCTCTCAAAGTTTGCAGAGTTCATGCGGCTGTGGCTCCCGTACGCGTCTTGGATTCAGACCAAGCCTTTTGCTTGACCTAGAGGCCTTTTGTTCGGAACCGATTCACTAGGATGCATAAGGCTTCAAATGAATATGAGCAATCCAGGACACCTACTCAAAGTATTCAATGGGTCTAGGGATCCTATGCTTGGGACACAGCAGCGCCTACTTTGCACTGGGCTACTTGTCGGTGAAAGATTACTGGTTAACTAAGTATGCTGCATTCATCATCACAATGGCGTTTATCATGATGGTGGGTCTCATCATTTACAGCAACTTTCGAGCGCCCAGCACACGCGTGCGGATGGTGACCGTGGCCTTAATTTGCTTGGGGCCGACCTGCTCCACTTTCGCTGCAATTGTGGCCAGTGAGGTGGCGAAACGGATTTTGGTACCTGTTTCTTTTACAGCTCACTTTTTCCTATGGGTGCTGGTCTATGCCTTTGCCCGGGACTTGCATGATACAGCCATGCACTTTATCCGACCAGGAGAAGGCTTCTGGTCAAAGAGTGCACCAGGTGAGAAGAAGTGTGATGACCTCGAGCATGGCAACAGCCATTTGCGCTGGAAGCACCAGGAGGAGCAATACCACAAGGAGTGGTTGCGTCACCAACCTGGATATAGAGATCAGACACGAACGCTCTCATCCCACCAGATGGAGAAGATGGACCGACAGCTGGAGCGGATGGACTACATTGAGCAATCGCCATGTGCCAGAAATTCGCTCCGTGCCTTGTCCTGTGGGGCCTGTGAGGTGCCCGGCGACCGCGGCGACCGCAGCGGCCACAGTGGCTGCGGCGACACTGGAGCTGAAGCGTTTGAAGATCTTCAAGGCCAGCCCCCTGAAGAGCCACGCAAATCTAAGCCTGACTTCATCGGATGGCCAACTGATGAAGATGAATTTGCAGTGCATGCGGAGCACACCAAAAGCCACATCAAGAGCACAGCACATTCCACAATCTGCCTGAGCGCCCTGCTGTGGCTGGCCATGCTCATTTGGGCCATCATGACCTACTGGCTTGCTCCCTCTGAGGTACCCAAGTACGCAACACTCTCACAGGAGCAGCCCATGGTAGTTTGGCCAACGGCGACCTTCTGCCCGAGGTTCATCGCCTGCAAACAGGGTGTCACGTTTGCCTCGGACGGCTACCAGATATTTCAAATCGACCTTGCGGGTGGTACTGCAAAGAGAGTGAACTGCATAGGCTTGCGTGGCCCAATCTCGGATTTGAGTGTTTCTTGCACGCCGAAGGGGTGTGTTCCAGTAGCTTTGGCACATAGCGTGGTACATTGTGGACAGGGCCCCACCGCTGTGCAAGACACTTTGCACCACTTCACTGTGTATGGCAGAGGATCTTTCCAAGAGCAGCGGATGCTGAGTGCAAGTTCGTCAGAACTGGTTTCCTACGGCTGGTCTGGAGATGAATGGCAAGGCTTAGCCTTCTTGGGCCATTCTCGCTTTTTGAGTGACCTCGGAGGAATTCACAATCGAAAGCTTCGCTCGAACGAGGGCCTGATAACTTTGGACGAGCTTCCTTCAGGAGATTTCTTGTTTGTCCGGAGGGTCCCAATGTCCAAACCCAGCGTGCAGATCCGGAATGCCAGCGACATGACAGTGAACGGTCAGTGGCACCTGCCTGCCAGGCTTCCAGAGGTTCAGAGTGCCTGTGCATTTGATTCCAATTCCATGCTTGTATTGCTCAGCAGTGGTGCTGAAGCTGACGGGCAGCGAAGCTTGCACAGACTTCAGTTAACGACATGAGTGGCTGCACCCAGCCAGTAGGTAATGATGGGAGCTGCGCAATTGCACCTCTAGGGTGCTAACCGGAGCGGCTGTTTCAAAGAGGAGGCGCTGACTTAGAGTCTCTAAGTCTTAGAGATGGGGAGTTGACCGTTCTCACTGAACTGTTGCTTTAACGACTTCGACAAGTGGTAAGGGACTGCGCGGTGGATTTGAAGAAGTTTTAACCATTGATGTGATTTGACTATCAAAGTCCTGTCCGAAAACCCTCCCAGTACCTGCAAACAAAGCCTCACTGACGTCTTCAGAACTCATGACTTTATTCGGAGCAATGTATCCGATACATTCCGATACCTGTTGGACTTTTGGACAAGTTGCAATTTCTTCCTTCACCCTCCACACCTGTTCAACCTGTTCATTTTCCCTCCACGCCTTGCCCTGATTCGGGGTTGAGGAGGGCATGTCAGATGGGGTGTGACACTTTGCGGCCAGGAAGAGCAGGACGAGGTTGCCAGCTTGGTGCCCAGCAAGAAGCAGGGACCGATCACTTAGATTCACTTCGCAGAGGGCGTATATAGTAGCAGTCCACATGTTCGAACCAGAAGGGTGGGATGTGTTTGGCGCCATGTCCTGCAGAGTGTCCTGGTGCATTCCATCTTTTTTTCAAAACACCTGCCTTAAAAAAACATCGCGGTGAATTAGTTCTGATACCTCAAGACCTCCATTTCGGGCAACATAAGCGGGCAGTGGCTGCTTGGTGTCCAGTAGCATCCAGAAGCCACCGTTTAGTTCTTTTGATCAATTTGACTTGTCGGACACTGTTCAGATTTGAAGTACAGGACCTGGTCACTGTTTTTGTCCATGTGCGCTCCAAGTGGTTAGTTTTGGATGGAAACGCCGCTGCCAGACTTAGGACAACGTTTAGAAGAGGCACGTTGGAGTTGGAGCTTACTGGCATGCCTGCTGACAACCATTTCAATAGACTCGTATAATAGGCTTGCGGGGGGGACAGGGCATTTGCAATATATTTGTAGGCCCGGCTTTTGATTGGCATTTCATTGACTCCATTGGTTGTGATCCACAATGCTTTTCAACACTGTCACACTTCGTGCTGGAGTATTCTAAGCTTTTGGGCAGGTACCGAACAACATTGTTCGCCATGTTTCATTCATTGTTGTAGGAGCTGAAGAGAGAGCAAGAACTCCACAACCTCCAGAAGGCCGCTCGGTTGGAGCCCAGTCAGACCAGTCAGAGCTCAATGCAATGTAATTAGGTAAGTATGTAGGTAAGTATGTAATGTAATGGTGTGTAATGTTATGTAACAATGTTATGTTAGGAATGTAATGTAATGCAATGCAATGCAATGCAATGCATGTATGTATGTATGCATGGATGCATGCATTGCATTAATGTATTAATGTATTATGTATTGTAATGTTTTGTGATGTATTGCACTGTAAGGAGTGAAATGTAATGTAATATAATGTAATGTATATTGTCAATGCAGGTGCACAATATTATGTACAGCCAATATAGATGCGTGAGACAACTGCCAACCTTTGGCTCAAGGATCGCCTTGCGGAGAAAAGGTTAGCGAGCTACCTTGCTGCGCATGGTCATCGGATGGCTTTGTCAACTGTTGGGTTGCAGGGCAACAGGATCACAGATATCCGGTGAAGGCAGAGTCGCTCCACCGGAGACGACATCCGCTGGAACAGACACAAGAGCAGGCAACATGAAGAGAGTATTAAAGATATTTGAAAGATCAACATCACCGAGGACAACTACGCGAAGATCGCCCAAGAGAGATATTGAAAGAGTCGAGATCGAGGACCCTACAGAAAAGAGAAATGCGACTCATTGAGGAACTACGACCAGCGAGAGTATCATACCAATATTTGAACGATGAGCACACCTGTCTACATGACGGATACAGAAGACTCTACACTGAATCGCAGGAAGAATTTTCGCAATTGACGAGATGCAACAAGACTATGCACTTGAACTTCAAGAGATGATGCAAGAAGATGAAGGAGCGACTATCCGCATTGAAGAACTAGAAAGGAAGCTCCGACTTGCTGAATCATTGGCAGTTCACATATACACAAGGTATGAAGATCTTGCCCAAGAAAGTCACGAAGAACATTCGCAACTTGATGAAGTGAGATCCAAGATGAGTGACGTGACCAGCGAAATGCCAGAGTGCCTTTCACTACATCCAAGAACAAAACCGAAGCTCTGATTTCTACAGCCAACGAGCTCAGCACTTGAGCGAAGAGAACATGGCAATCATGAAAACCTCCAGTGATCTTCAATCAAGAATGCTAGAAGTACAGGACGAAAACAGCAACATGTTTGAAGTAGCTCAGAGAGAGAGAGAGAGGGAGAAACAGTGGAATAGTGAGGTACAACAGATGCAGTTGGCTGATGAGATTACTGAGACTACCGGTCATCAGTATCAAGAGAAGAGAATGGTTGAACGCCTTCGTGGACAACTAGCTATCATCAAAGGATCAGAGCTAAATACAGTTGCAGAGACGAATGACTTTGCGCAAAAGTCCGAAATTTCACGGATACAAGTAGTTCCCGGGCAAGCCGGCGGCGGAAGTTTCCAAAAGAAAAAACCTATAGGAAATGGGCATGTAGCAGGCTGATTAAAGATGACTCAGCCGCGTAGTAAAGTTGTACTACAAAGTCACCCGTTCTCAGCTTCCAGCTCCACGATTGCTCCGCATACTAAAGTTGTACTAGAAAGTCGCCAGTTCTCATCTTCCGCTCCCCAGATACTCCGCGTACTAAAGTTGTACTACAAAGTCGCCAGTTCTCA